ACAATCCCACAATTATGAAAATATTCGTCTTTGAAATACCATATAACGGGTGTTTTTTGCGTTGAGGTAATTGTCGTTCTCTATGCGAGTGTTTTCAGATAGCAGAAAATAAATAAATTAATTAATTAATTCGCAAAATTGTTACAAGGAGTTTCCCATATAGGTAGCGCGTAGCGCATTGATAAAATTTTCCGTCCAAGTTTCTTTGATAGGTCGATCAAGGAAAAAACATAAGATTCATTTCTGAAATGATGTTCAATTTCCAAATCATATAAAAAAGCGGTCTGTAATAAGTCCCAGAAAGCCGTATGAATGACGCAAATGCTCTAATGAACAGTAATGACTTTCCAAAATCAATCTCGCCAATACCTCATTGTAATTCTTGCATCCTAGATCCGCCATTAGCAGGAGAACGTCATTTTTTTCATGTTGCTCACAACTCTGTCTCATTCATTTTTGCTTGACAAAATAAATTGCACTGATTCTGTGTCTGTCACTCTTCAATATATAATCAATGGCACTCTTCACTTATGATTGAAGAAGGAAAATAAAATATTTCCTTTAATAGCATCTTCATATATAATGTATGAGTTAATTTTGCGTTAAGTTTATTATCGAGGAAGTAATTACGGCGCTTTGTTATATAAAGCTGTGTCTCATTTGTCGAAAATGAAAGACAAGCCAGGAATCGTAGTGATGATTTGTTATCCTAGGAAAATTAACAGTTTTTATCTATAATCATTTCATTAACAAACTACTAATTGAAACCTTAAATTGAAATTTTAAGGGAATATCCGTATATTTCCCATATTCCATTCCATTTTTTTTTCCATCCGTGAAGGACACCAGACATTCACTGTATTCTTTTCTTTAAGGAAGAACAGGGCTAATAAGATACTCAGGTACGAAGTTTTATCTATCTATTTTAACAACTCCTTGTATTTAAAGGGGCCTAGACACATATTTGAGTTAATATTTTCTCAAACTTTCTGTATAATATCATGACTTATATGTTAATATAGCATTCCACACGGAAATATAATAAAAAACTTTTTTTATCTGAAAATTATTGAAACTATGAATTTCGGGAAGCGTTTGATTGACACATCCTTGCACTTTCACAAAGTAAACGTTATCCTTAATACTTAAGAAAAGAAGAAATTTTGCTGTGTTTTAATGAAAAATATAAAAACTATAATCATGAAAATTCGGAGTAGAAAAGTAAGAAGGCCAAACCGACTCACCAGTATTGTCAGTGATGTGTGCAGAGTTTAACAAATTGAACACACCCGATGAAACGTAATTTGTTTTTGTCAACAGGGCACGAGCTCTGCTTTTGTTAATGTTTACGTCTCACCGGGTTGCTACAGCAACATACATTATGATTTTCTACGGGAAATTTGAGAAAAAAACTACATAATATATGTAACTTCAAATCTGTGTCTGGGCCCCTTTAAAACTTGTGAGAAGATTTAAGTTTCATTTAAATTGAATTTGTGACTCATAAAACACAACAAAATGGAATTGGAGGGATTGGATAAGCGGATTGACATATCTCTTTCTTTATCATTTAAACCACATTTTAAGTTTTCAGGAAATTTTCTTATTTGTAGGTAAAAGTATTATTCCAAACTGGGTACTTGAATTTTTATAAATACTAGGGAAATTAAACTTGAAGTTGTTCATATATTTTTTTAATACTTATAACTTCTTTGAGCTGATGTTGATTTTTTTAATAAACAGTAAATTGTTAATTTTGTTTGTAGCAAACTATTTCATTAGATTTTCAGAACAAAAATATTATATTGAAAAATCGGTGGTGCCTGTATCACAATATAACTTGCGTCAAAAATCATTCCGGTTAATATTATCTTCCAATTTGTACATTTCAATACCATATTTGAGGACACATCGTCTCATTTTCATTGCTTAAGATTCATTGATTCTTTGATAAGGGATATAACTCTCACTGGGATAAATGACGCTTATTACTTGATAAAATTCTCAGGATAGCAGGACATACTTGTCAGATTTTGCCGCGCAAGGAATGTTAAAATTATGAGCATTTTAATCATGAATGAAATTTCTTTTTAGAATTTCATAAGTGTTTTAAAGGAAAAAAAAATATATGACTGAACAGAGGGATTTTGAACCAGAATTGTAGAAAAATCAAATTATAAGGCATGAATTCACCCAAATAACCTGGGTTACATTCTTTTAAAATCACTTAGCGATTTATAGAATTATAAACTGCCACAACCTAGGTAAAATATTGTAGTCATGAAATGTGCGTATAACTTGGGTTACTTTCAAATGCAGTCCTGAAAATTATGGTTTTGCAAACCGTTGCTGTACCACATCCAGCTTCTTCAAAGAAGAAACTATTTTATGGTGATTGTTCAAAGTAGGTACCTGTCAATCAAGAACAAAGTTTTTTTTTTCTTAATACTGCACAGGCCTGTAGGAAGCAATTTCAGTTGGGGGGGGGGGGGGGAGGGGAGGCACAGCCAAACATTTTCCAGTTGACAGTTGAGTGAGGGAACAATACCAAAAATTTCCTGACAAGCCAAATAAAAAAAAAAAAGGTCGTCAACTACCAAAAATTCCTTGACAAGCAAAAAAAAAAAAAGGTCATCCCCCCGGTTCCTACGGCCATACTGCATCAGTTAATTAAGATTTATTCAAGATAAGCATACCCATTTATAATTTATAATCTTCATCTGCTTTAGAAAGAAAGATAACAAATTATTTCTCTGTATCCGTCTTATTGATAATCTATAGTTGTTTCTCACAATAATGCTCTGTCATTCTTATTTCGCACTGTCATCAAAGGCATTGAAACGGAAAAGTTAACAATAAACCTTATGTACCCTCATTTCACTTAATGGACAAATTACTTTGACCGATATTTAGGTACTTAAAGATGTATTCTGCGAAATATGCTGAATTATCAGCCCATCTATATCGAACTCCTCTGGTTTTATCCATCAAAATATGCATAATTGTTTTGCCCACTCATCCCCTGTTATCTATTTGAATATTGATTCTTTGTTGTTTTAATAGTCTTCTAAAGAATATTAAGAAAATTTTAATTCCAGATCAAAAAAAAGTACATTCATTGACTATGAAAATTCCAAGAAGTCCGGTTTCTAGCCATATTTTCTATGTCTTTTATCTCAAAAATATGTCACTAGCTCATATTTTTGCTTCAAAAAAGGAATATCGGATTAAAGAGGCAACATTGAAAATAGGGTTTTATGCAAGTATTTATCTTATACGTGTGGTGATACTACCCATAAGATAAACCTATGCTTTATCCACGGGTATGTGCTTTATCAATAGCTCTTCCGGTTTTGACATAATCCCTCGGCCTCGCTTCAGGATGTAAATTTATCGAAACTTCTTACTGTGAAAGTTCTTTGATATCAAATAAAAGCTAATAAGCAAAAATTTTCGTTTAAAAGAAGAAAAAAAAACTCATTACAGTTCAGTGAAATGTCAAAATTTATCAATGCACCCCCCCCCCCCCGTTGGATAAAGCAAATATCAAAACACACAATATAGATATCCTTTATATAACAGCAGAATATATCCTTTATCTGTATTAGTTTAACAAGACGTTATGTTTATCAATGTCCTCCTCCCGGCTCATTCTAGAAAAAAAAAATACTTCACTTTAATTCGAAAAATAAATGATATGATAACATAGGAAAAAAAATACGTACAATGGAATTTCTAAAGACCTAAAATTACCCAATTCCAGGAATACAAATTACCCGCACAAAGATATTAATGGAAATAATGATTTAAAGTTTGATTTTTATTAGTTATAATTCTAAATATTTTTGAAAATATATATTTTTTGTCATATAGCATGATAAATTCGAATTACATGTACATGTACGACCTTACTAAAAAAAATCTTAAAATTCTTTATGAAGTTAGAGTGCGGTTTACACTGGAAAATAATCGGATGTTCGTTTTTCTTTTTTCTTAAATGATGATTTTTTTTTCTTTAAATAAGTCATACCAATGCGGAATACTTACTTGTATTTGTGTTTTGCTAAGGAAATTAAAAAAAAAAAATACTCTTCACTGTGTAAAATGCATATATCTCGAACTACCAAACTGATGCCCTTTAAAAATTGACACTCCTTGAACCTTAAAAATGTGACAAGGAGGTCAAGGCCATCATTGAAATCATTTGCTAGAGCTCTTGAGCGTTAGAAATTACGATATTTTTTTTTTCTTGAATGAGTATACTCGACTTAATGGTAGGATATTATGGGAAAAAAAACAACATGATATCAATTTCTGGATCAAATGAAAATTTCGTATTATCTTAGTTCCTTGTCTTATCTTGTAGTCTGAAGATAAGACAAGGAACTTATGCAGATACGGAAACATCTTAAAAATCATTGATTTCTTAACTTTTTTTATAAAAACCCCAGCCTTTCTTAATTGAAACAAAGAACCTTACCAGAATGAATATTTTTAAATCTGTAGATACATGTACTCATTTATTGCACTGAATTTCATCTCTTTTTTTTTCTACATTGAAAACACGGAGAACACGCATTTAATAAACAGAAAACATGTCTGCACAGTTGTGGCAATGTGAAACGTACCCCCCCCCCTCCCCTCCCTTTCCAGTTCGTCCCTTTCCACTTATTCGAAAAAAATGAATAATCTGTTAAGAGACCTGCTTCTGAATACCCGTATAACAGCTAGAGATCTTTTCTAATTTTTATCTTTTCAAAAGATAAGCTTGTTGCGGATCATACACGCATATATCCACACGAAACTTATATAAGGATTAAACTGTTCTAAATTTCAAATAATTGCCTTGAAATTGAAGTTACTGTAATTAGTTATAATCTTTATTGATCTAAGATGGATTTTTTTTTGCTGAAAGCTTTATTCATTTTTTCAGATTCAGGTGGACCGCTCTCTGGTCTATATCTTGACTGATTTGTGAAATGATACATCCGTATGAGAAAATGTCGCCAAGTGACTTAAATTTGATCATAGTTAACCTCGTCTTCTTTGTTTACAAAGTTGGAGAATCCATGTTAGACACGACAACTAAACCGTATCTAGTCAGTGCAGTATGCTACGATACTTATTTGTATAAGCAAACAGAAAACATGACGTGCAAGGATCTTGAGAAAAACCCGGCACTTGAAGATCACATGCAAAGCCTTTCTGGAAATTATTTGATTTACTATAGATTGCTTTTAAATATTCCCGCCATTCCTTTAGCTCTTCTCTGTGGATCTTACAGTGACCGATATGGAAGAAAAATACCTATCTTCCTTCCAAGTGTAGGCAGTGTTTTTGCAGTCATGTTGTACATCTTGAGCGATCTGGTGCCCCTGTACCGGATTCCTCTGATATTTTGCGGCATCGCACTTCAAGGGCTTTTCGGGAAGAGCTCTGTTATAACAATGGCTGTAAATAGCATGGTTTGTGATATTTCACTATCTGGGAATCGAACAAGGATCCTCGGTATTCTTTTAGCTATGAATTTCCTTGGTGTTTGCGTAGGATCTTTGCTCTCTGGATTAATACAAAGCTTATTTGATCTCAGTGTTACATTTTTTTGTGTCACAATTCTTCATGGAATGTCCATTTTGTTTACCATCTTTCTGATCGACGAAACAGTAGGGCATAGCAAAGAGCAGAAATCAAAGATAACGAAATGTGAAGTGTGTGAAATCTTTCGGCCATCGAATTTTAAAGATGCAATAACTGTTGTAACAAGACCCCGGTTTTTAAATGACAGAAAAATAATCATTGTACTTCTTGTTATTTCGTTGGTTACTCAAATCTGCAGGACTGGGGAGAGCGACATCAATCTTCTTTTCATAACTAGGCGACCGCTCAGTTGGCCAAAACCTTGGTATGGATACCTTTTGTCTTTAGAGTACGCTGTTAAGGGGGTGTGTCTATTTCTTTTTCTCCCGCTTTTCTCCAATCAGTTGATGCTTTCTGACGTCACAATTGTCATGCTGGGAATTATATGTAAATTAGTTCGTTTGGTGTGGGCGGGCTTCTGCAACACTACCTGGATGGTGTTTGTTTCGGTTGCCATAGGAGCAATGGCTGGAATGACAACTTCCGCTCTGCGTTCATTGGCCAGTAAAGCTGTTGACGGAGATGAAGCGGGGAAAATGTTTGCCATACTAACCGCCGCCGAAACTTCGTCTAAATTTCTAGGATCCCTAATATTCTTGAACATATATGGTGTCACTGCACATTTTTTTCCTGGGATAGCTTTTTTAATTGAAGCCTTTGTATATTTATGTCTGCTATTGGTTTTAATCGTTATGTTCAGACCACTGAAAAAGCTACAATCAAGTGTATTAAGGCATATTTCTCACTCGGACTACTTCTCTAAGTGAGGAATTTTTGTTTTATTTTTCAGATGTTGTAAGATCATAAGGACATAAAAGATAAAATGCATGGTATAAGAAAAAAATTGAAATATAATACTGTATTGAATATGATTTAGCTCAGAAAGGAATATCCTGTGTGTAATTTTAAGTATACATTTATTTATTTATTGTATTTCATCGAATATTTTTTTTTATTAACTTGTGTTTTTTTAATCATTTTAAAGAAAAAATCCTGAGCAAAATCTTGACATCTCTGCAAACAAACGGTTCATTTCCAGATTAAAACTGGGAAAATTAATGCACATGGTTCTTTTTTTTCAAGAAGAGGCATTTTTGCATGTACTATACATTCATGTTTCTGGTACAAAAATTCATGTGTCTTAAGAACTATGCAAATACTTCGTTTGCTTACCAAATAAAGCAAATGCATGTTCAACAACAACAACAAAAAGAAAAAAAAATGCAGAAAGGCCATTTCTTGTAATCTGAACGATTTTTTCTATTAAATGTACATATACAGAGAATGTTTTCCACTGGGGCTACGACTGCATGGTGTTTAGCAAATATTTAAAAAAAAAAAAAAATATCAGTTTTGAAAAATTTTAAAGAGAACTCTTAACTGAATTTAAGGAAAATTTATTTGTTACACAATTGTAGTTTATTACCATGATTGTTTAATTCAAGAGGTTTTTAATTACATTAAGCTTAATAAACATATGGACAACTTTTAATCTAAAACATATCTATTCTCATGAATATACATGTACGTGTGTATCTAAAAACCAGGCAGTAATCTAAATAAACTCTTATAGCCTTTGTCTTATTATTGATAAAAAGGAATACAGTGATTATGTCAGCACTAAACATTTTGTTTCTTAATGTGTTTTCTGCTTTGTCCCAGTCGGTTTTTCTCTCTTCAATCTACTTAAGGTTCATTGACTCTCTTATAAGATAGACAACTCTCTCTTCAGTCTACTTAAGGTTCATTGACTCTCTTATAAGATAGACAACTCTCTCTTCAGTCTACTTAAGGTTCATTGACTCTCTTATAAGATAGACAACTCTCTCTTCAGTCTACGTAAGGTTCATTGACTCTCTTATAAGATGGACAACTCCCTCTTCAAGTCTACTTAAGGTTCATTGACTCTCCTATAAGAGAGACAACTCTCTCTTCGATCTACTTAAGGTTCATTGACTCTCTTATAAGAGAGACAACTCTCGCTAGGATAAATGATTATTATTCTTTCATAAAATTTTCAAATTATAAGAAATAAAAAAAAAAATCTGCCCTAGCATGGATGTCAAAATATTTATTTTCCTAAGTCGATTATTCGATTGCATTTTTCGAACATTCGGAACATTTTTTTTAAATATAATTATAAATTAAAGTTTATTAAAATAAATTGGAGGGGGAGGGGGGTAAAAAAAACTATCAACACGTCAGTCACCTGCTTTATCAATTATTGATTGTGAAAATGTCTTTACAATGTAATCGAGTTGTTTTAAGGACATTGGCAAAGTTCCTGGTTATCGAATAGATTTTTTCAAGAACTCTTGAGTAGTTTTAATTGTACTAAACAGGCTATATTCTGGATTGTTTAACCTACCAAGCCAGCCTTCTTTTTTTAGATTTTGTCAAATCGGTGTTTTTGCAATTCTCAACGCATTTCCTATGTAAAATGTTGATAAAAGGGACCTGCATAATTTTTCACCATAGAGTTTCTCCAAAGCCCACTTATTTCATATAGTTTATGTATTATATACATTATTGTATAATCATTTCCAATGACTTCTAGATAGTTTGGCTGAAAAAATATATATAGAAACAAGACAAGGACATGTCGGCACCAATCTTTATTTTTGAATTACTTCCCTTAACAGCTATTCATAATGGTCAAGAGAGTCAGACTGGTTGATTTATTCTATCATGTAATTGACTGAATTGATTGAAACACATTGTCATAAAAATATTGGCATGGATTTATTTCAAATTTTATTCGTAGTTACTAAATGCTGCTTCCTTCATACAACCTAAGAACTGATCTCAGTCGGTCTACCTTTCAGCCATCGTGATTGTCGCAAACCACGGCCAAAATGCACGATCCTCTCCTGCCCTTCCCAGCATACTGAGCGAAACTATGGTAGATGACGACCTGTTGCCTCTTTGCCCTCTGAATACAATTTACAACAAAGCCATTACTACATTTCTTTCTTGCTGTATAGATGATTCTACCCGTTGAAGGAAATACACGTGCTTTTGTTTACCCTTTGTAAACATTTTCACCGCTTGGAGATTTCTACACGGGAGATCACTCTCAATCACTATTTCATAAGTGAAAAAAACCCATGTATTAAACCTTTTTTTCTCCGGAAAACCTTGACTTGCCAATGTCCTTAAATTTGTAATTATAGAGGTGGGAAAACATGTCACGGCTACAGTGTGTTCTCTGCATTTGAACATTCTTAAAATAACAAAATATAATAGGTATATGGTAAGAGATGTACTTTTGCTCTAACTTAACAAAAAAGTCCAGTTAAATGATGCATAATTTATCACAAAAATTACACAGACAGTAATCGACAAACAATTTCGCAGTAATGAAGCGTTATATTAACTTTATGCATGTAGAATGGAAAGTCACCAGTCTTTGTTGTGGAAAATTATCCTATCGACTGTTTTTAAGGGAAGATGGTTTCTCAATTTTTAGATAAAGTCCATATCGTTTTTACTTTTTTTATTGATTTATTTTTCTGAATGTCGTTTCATTATTCGATCATAGGTCTATTCGACTGATACAGTGCAGGGAACTAATTTTGTTACATAAACCAGCATCAGCATAAGCATTAATAGCATCAGGATCGAGCTAGCATCAGCATCAGCATTTAAAAAAACAGCATTACCAGGATCAGCATCAGCAAGCAAAGGATGAAACCAGCATTGACCTACATAAAATCAGCATTATCCTACTAGCATCAGAAAATCAATGAGTTTTAATTCAGTAAAAAATTAAAAAAAGAAGGAAAGAATATTGGTTAAAGTATTCACATTATTGATACATAGTGAGATATTATGATCAAATAATTGTAAAAGGCACTTTTATTGCTTTAAACGGCAATGCTGAAATTCATTATCTACTTCCGGTAGCATGATGCTACTTCCGGTAGCATTGACCTAATTATAAAACAGCATCAGGATAAGGATTACTAGCATTAAATCAGCAAGCAAAGGAAGTATTCAAATCAGCAAGCAAAGGAAGCATTCAAATCAGCATTGATTCTGTAACAAAATTAGTTCCCTGCACTGTAGTCGAATAGTCGACTATTCGTTGACATCCCTATACAATTGTACATTTTAATTATGAATAAGATTTCTTTTAGAAAATCATAAGCATTTAAAGCAAAATTTGATGAAATGCAATGTGAACAGAAAGACGAATAAAGAAAACTTATCAGTGGAATTTCATGAAGAGGTATACCCTGCGGACATGTGAAAATCTTTAATTACAGTAAACGCACTGCCTACTTGAATTCGTTTTCACAATCCTCGAGTAGAGAATCTTTATCTCTGACTGACCGACCTTGTATCAAGATTGGGACCTAACGATAAATGAGGACGATTACGAAATCTAAGGTAAGAAGTATATTTAAGTATCTACCTTATTGAAATAATATCTGAAAATAATTCCCATCAGCTAAAAAATATAAATATACATGTCACTGAAGATGTACTAAACTAAGGTTAATATTTAAATAAGAAAGAATAAATGTTTACCCAAGACTGTCAATTTATGGAATGTTTTAAATGACTTTTGCTTAATAATGCTATTGTTAAATTAACAGGAAATTCGCCAAAATAGTAAGCATTTGTTTCTCTTTCTAAATCTTTTAGCCAGTCTCTGAAAGGTCTTTGGTTTCCATTTCCTTCACTTCTTGCACTTGTGTCAGCTGTGCTTTGTTCGTTTTATTGCAAATCGCTTTTTGAACCTCGCACCGGAATTGTGTACACAGTGAACAAGGTTACAGTCGTGCCTCCTTAATCCGGACGCTTGAGTTGCCGAGCAAATTGTACCGAGTACTGAAACATCCAGATAACTGAAACACATATGGTTTATATAAAATGTTCTCCAGAAATTCTGTCTGGAAGGTTGAAGTGTTCGAATTATTGAAGTCTGCATTAACAAGGCTCCACTGTAAACAGAATATGAAAATTATTAAAATGAAAGTAAAGTTATGCGTATAATTTTTAAGATTATAAAATCAATGAGCTTTTCCTTTTGTTCGTACAATGACTGCAATCTACTACATATATAATAAACCTGCTATTAATTTCATTTTCTCTTTATATTTATTGACAGGGGTTTCTTCTGTATAAAATGTATCAATGGGACTATGCTCTGATTTTGCTGCAAGGTACATTTTTTACAATGTCATAAAAAAGAATTGATGCAATGAAATGACGAATATGTTGCAATTTGAAAATGGATACTGATGTTGGTAAAAATTTTATTTCAAGATTGTCTTCTTTGAATAATAACCGGCCTCTCTCATTTGATCCAGTGTTATCGGTTATTGTGTCTCGTCGTTTTGGGGAAAAATCACATTTTTAACGTTTTCCCTCCATAACCAAAAAGCACATTTCTTCTTAGTTTGTTTTAAAGCATTTTAGTTGAAGGATTTCAAGTCTTACATGTATATTCAAATAAGAATCAATCAACTTTTCACATGTAAGTCGTGATCGGAATGTCTTGGGTTTAAGCCGTAAATCGATAAAAAATAGGTAGCAACTGTTAGCCAAGCGGTCGGCACTTAAGCTTTAAAGTGACAGTTCTAAATCTTTCGGAATGGACCTTAAAAATCGTAGCCCCATGTCAGCTCGATATAGATTCTTCACTCCTCAGTGGCCTTTGAAGCTGATCAAATTTTTCATCTGCATACGGAGACGTCATGAGAAAAAAAAAATCTTGCAAGCTAGGACGGAAACAGCAAATACTCAAATATCAAATTTA